TATAACACATCATCTGTATGTTGTATTGTGTGTTCACCACCCCAAGTCAGGTCTCCTTCCATCACATTTATCCCCCCTTTACCCTCTTCCACCTGCCCCACCCTCTTTCCTTCTGGTCATCGCCATACTATTGTCTGCCTATGTGTTTTTGTTTCTTTCATTCACCTTGGAAATGTTCCTCAGATGTCTGGTGGTCTTTGACTGTTGCTATTGAACGCCGAGACACCTAAAAGCGTTTTGGCCATCTGGGGAGCCTGGCAGAGGCTCCAATGAGGGGTAAGCAGCAGTGTGTTCATTGGGGTTTGGTAGGAAACAGATGCTGCACTTAAACTGGGCCTCCGAGAAGGGTCTAATAAGGGATTACTTATGAAGATGTGGGCAGGGTTTAGGGGATTCAGCAAAGAGTAGATCAGCGTGCCATAGGTAGCAATGACAGAGATTTACTGCGTAAGGCCCAAGGGAGGGAGTTGTGTTTGGAATTCTGTGAGGGTCTCCACATGGAAAGAGCTGCTGATGGGAGCTGTAGAAGGATGCAGCCAGCTGGTGACACAGCACAGAACATATACCCTGACTCGTCTCTGCTTTCATCGTCCGTTCCTGCCAGTGCTGTCCACTGAATGGACTTGACACAAATCTGTCTCTACTTCCAGCACACACAGCAGGCTGGAGGAGTGCCAAGGATGGAAATGGAAGACCTCCAGCACAGGCTATATCAGTCTGTGTCTGGTCAGGAAAACAGAACCCACTCTGCATGTTTCAGGTATAAATGGCTGAATACAGAACACCGGGGGATGGGGGGAGGGGCACTGACTGACGTAGGGGTTGGAAGAGCTGGAGGGGGTGGTGAGGATAGCGGACAAGGACACTGCCCAAAAGGTCAGAGAAGCTGACGCTAAATATCTTGGCCATAAACACCAAAGCTGACACAGAAGCTGCAGCAACTCTCAATCTTTGAGAAGGTCCCACCGATTGCCCCAGTTTATAGCTTGGAAGCTTAATGGGAAGTCACTTGTGAATCTCATCTGCCTGCCTGCATCCAGGGAACTAGTGATGGCTTTGGCTTTTTCCCCTTCAGCATCTGGGATCTTCCCTACAGGCCCCTTCTGGAGAAGGAGCCTCCCATCCCCTGCGTGTGGCAGGGAGAGCAGGCAGGGGGGTGGCCGGGCTTGGTCACCATGCTTCTGGGAACTGGATCCTCTTGGTTTTCATGTATGGTGGAGCAGGGTAAGGAGGGGACCAAGGATCTGGCCACTTGGTGTGTAGGCAGCAATACTGTCCCTCTGATGGCAGCCCTGAGCTTTGCCCAGTTTTGCTGAGCCAAGACACTCCCTTCCTGGGGTCCACTGCAGACTTCCCTTGGGTGGCCTCCTGCTGAGCCTGCTGCTCCTCCCAGCTGCTGTTTGAACCCCATCAGCACCTTGAAATGGTTAGTCCTGTGATGTTTCCTCTCCTGATCTCCTCGTCCTTGTGGGTGAATTCCCTCTTATTCCTTTATCATCATTTCACTGGGATTTGAGAGGGAGAGATGGTAACGCAGGCAGCCAGTGTGCTAAGGTTAACCCAAGTGGATCTATCTTAAGACTTTGCTACAAATTGCATCCTTTTGTGTTATTAAAATTGTGCTCATTAAAGAAAATCTGGAGCAGTGCCAGACACTAACCTGAGCACTTTATAACAAGCGTTAATCCATTATAGCCTCATGCCAACCCATTTTATAGATGAGGAACCTGAGGCCCAGAGAAGTTCAGAAACCTCTCAAGAGTGAACTCCAGCTAGTAGTGGGTGAAGCCTGAGTGGTTTATACCCAGGCCAGTGACTGTGCCCCTACCTTCTGCTAGCTCACCAAAGAGGAAAGGATCAGCGATAGCCACGTGACTCCAGGATGACCTCTAACCTTTTGGAATATTTGCTGTCAAAGTTTTCAAGGCAATTGTAAGTACAGGGTATGTGTAAATGGACATGCTGGATTTTATCACTCACTGTTAATGTCAAGAGCATTTTATATTTTTATATTTTTATTGTTGTTCAAATATAGTTGTCTCCATTTTCCCACCATCGCTTTCCCCCACCCCACCTGCCCCCACCTTCCACCCTCCATCCTTCCCCACTTTGGCTTTGTCCATGGGTCCTTCATCCACGTTCCTTGATGGCCTTTCCCTTCTTTCCCCTGTTATCTCCCTCCCCCTTTCCCTCTGGTCACTGTCAGATTGTTCTTACTTTCAATGTCTCTGGGTATATTTTGCTTGCTTGTTTGTTTTGTTGATTAGGTTCCACTTAAAGGTGAGATCATATGGTATTTGTCTTTCACCACCTGGCTGCTTTCACTTAGCATAATGCTCTCCAGTTGCATCCATGCTGTTGCAAAGGATAGAAGCTCCTTCTTCCTTTCTGCTGTATAGTATTCCATCGTGTAAATGTACCACAGTTTTTTGATCCACTCATTTACTGATGGGCACTTAGGTTGCTTCCAGCACTTGGCTATTGTAAATTGTGCTGCTGTGAACATTGGGGTGCATGGGTTCTTTTGGATTGGTGTTTCAGGATGCTTAGGGTATAATCCCAGCAGTGGAATTGCTGGGTCAAAAGGCAGTTCCATTTTTAGTTTTCTGAGGAAATTCCATACTGTTTTCCACACTGGCTGCACCAGTCTGCATTCCCACCAACAGTGCACTAGGGTTCCCTTTTCTCCATAACCTCACCAGCACTTGTTGTTTGTTGATTTGTTTATGATGGCCATTCTCACTGGTGTGACATGGTATCTCACTGTGGTTTCAATTTGCATCTCTCTGATGGCTAGTGATGCTGAGCATCCTTTAATGTCTCTGGGCCCTCTGTATGTCCTTGGAGAAGTGTCTGTTCAGGTCCTTTGCCCATTTTTTAATTGGATTGTTTGTCTTCCTGGAGTGGAGTCGTATTGAGTTCTTTTTATTTTGGAGATCAAACCCTTGTCCAAGAGCATTTTATATGTATACTAATTTCACACCCAGCAAAATGGTCACATGGATCTATTTAAATTTTTTACTAAGGCCATCGAGGAGACATTCATTGTTTTTAAAATCAGCAATAACTACACCTTGGAGAAACCTCATTAGCTATGATACTGCCACTGTGCAAAGTTGAGTAGGGATTCTAAACCATGAAAAAAGTGGGTTGCTTTGTTCACATCCAGATGACTCCACACTTTCTAATGGAATTTGGTAGAGCTGACTTTACACTCCCAGGCCTGTCTCTTTTTCCTGCTGGGGGGCATAGGGCGTGGCATGTAGCCTCTCTGAACGTGAGTGTCCTCACTTGTAAAGTGGGGATAGTAACAGCTGATGCTGTTGTGAGAATTTAAGAGTATGAAAGTGAATCACAAGCCCTCTGGCCCTCCATAAATGCTAGCGATTATTATCCAAAGATCATCCTCACTGCCCAGAGAGATGTTCAAAAGATAGGCAACACACTGTACATTGACATAAGGTTGAACCTTTTCCTTCCCAGATTTGGGTGCTGAGAAGAAAAAGTCTAGTCTCTATCTGATAGGCTGCTTGTTTTGTCTATAGTTAGGAGAGACTGATGCGTATATACAACTCCAGACAATGTAATTATGAACACATGGACAAATTTCCTTTCGAGATTCGCTCTTGGTCAGGATGTTTTCTGGGAAGTGAATGCTCAGATGATCATCATTAGACCTGACACAGGAAAAAGAATGTCAGGCTAGAGCTCACTGGACTTCTGACCTGAGGTCAGCGGAGAGGGCAGATAGGCGGGAAGGGAGCTCATTTCCCTGAAAAGAGCTAAATCTTGTTAAAGAGCATCCGAGGTTTCCTTAAGCATTTTTATCAGGAATTCTCAATCCTCCCCAGAAGGTTATGAAATATATTCTCAAAGAGTTCTGTTCCAGACAGGTTTAATATTTCACGATAGAATTTATGAGAAAAAGAAAGGGCAGTTTGGGAGATCTCCAAGAAACAAAGTCCTCCCTCCCCAAGGTTCTCAGTTTCCATCACATGAGCACGAAAGAGTAGTTACCAGCTAAAAAAACCATACTATTACAGTATGTGGAAATCATCATATATACATTTAAAAACTGTCTAGAGGAATACTCCATCAGGAGTTAACAGGGATTGCCACTTATCTCTGCAATAATTGATGATTGTGAGGTTATGGAAGATTTTCACCTTCTATACTGTATCTTTAATGTTTTATTAATTTAAAAATGAGCAGGTATCGGGTTTTACCGGCTCAGGGGTGTCACCGGTAGCTAGCTCTCTCCAGCCCTTCTTCATTACTGAGAATCACCAGGTCATCAGATGACCAAAGTGGTCACCTGGGCCTCTCATACTGGCACTGCCTCAGAATCCTGTGGAGAGCCCACCCTCAGGGTCCCTGATTCAGAAGGTCTGGGGCAGGGTCCACAATATGCCTTGCTAACAGGTTCCCATGTGATGCTGCCCCCTTTAAGAACCACTATGGCCCAGGAAAGAAAACCTCAACAGGGGAATCGAAGGCAAACAAAGATGAGTGTCACTTACTGCCCACTTTGCCTCTGGCTGGCCTGTGATTATTTGTGAGGAAAGGAACTTGATTTGACTGGCTCTATTTAATAAGCAGTTGTGCTAGAAAAGAAATGCACCCTATCTTATTAAATGAGAGCCTCATTGAGAGACTTTTCAATTAAGTCCCGTGGCCTCTGGGGTTTGAGGACCCATCTGGGTTTGGCTGTGTGCACTGGTGCTTTCACCACCTGGGGTGGCTGCGGCTCATCACCCTCAGCCCAGGCCACCGGATGTGGTTTCTCTGAACCTTGAAAAGGGAACACTGAGGGGGCTAGGGTAGTGGTTATTGCAATGCTCATGTCCTATTTGGGAAGCAGTGTGGGGCTGTTCTTGGAGTAGGCAAAATACAGGGAAAACCATCTCCGCGTGCCCCAAATAATCCTCCAATCACAAATATATTCACTCTTCTTTTTTATTGAGGTAAAATATACATGACATTTCCCATTGTAACCTTTATGAAGTGTACGTTTCAATGGTTTTACATTCACATTGTTCCATCCACCTCCAGAGCTTTTCATCTTCCCAAACTGAAACTCTGTACCCATTATCACTCTTTTAAAATACACAATTGCCTTTGTTGAGATAATGATTCACATGCCATACAGTTCACCCATTTTAAAGTGTATAATCCAATCATATTTTAGTATAGTTATAGTAATGCAACTATCACCATGCATTTTTAATTTTAAAACGTTTTTGTCACCCCTAAAAGAAACCTTTTTCTATTAACAGTCACTACCCAATTCCTCCAGCCCCTGATCTACTTTCTGTCTCTATAGAATTGACAGTTCTGAATATTTCATATAAATGAAATCCTATGTTATTTGTCCTTTTATATCTGGTTTCTTTCACTTAGCATCATGATTCCAGGGATATCCATATAGCTTGGATCACTACTTCATTCCCTTTTACATTTGCTGATAATATGATTCAAATCTGAATTTATCATCTCCTCTCTACCCCCAACAGCTCCCTTCTCCACTTGGGTGATCTGTCTGCTAAGCTTCCAAACAAAATACTTTGCAATCCTCCTGCTTTGCTCCCTACGCCCTCCCCCAAAACACTGCCTCACCAGGTTTGTCAAATGTAGTTCAGAAATGACTCTAAATGTGACCTTTCTTCTTTGTCAATGCTAGTGCCATTGTATTCCTTGCCCTGAATATCTCCAGTCTGTCCATGGCCTTCCACTTTCAGGCTCCCCTCCTCCAGTCCCTTTTCCATTTATCTCATCAGTTACCTTCCTACAATCAGTCTGCTCAGAAACCCGTGCTCCCACGCATTGCCTGCAGGCCTTGGTCACAATGGGCCTGACGGGAAACAGAATCAGACATTTGTTTGCACTCCTGCCCCTTTCACACAAGCCGCCTTGTCACATTGTCAGTTCCCCAGACGCTGAACATTCTCACTCGTTCTTCCCACTGTCTGGAACACCGGCAAGCATCTGCATAGGCTAGAGACCCAGCTCCAATGGAACCCCAGTATGTGACTGGGGCCTCTGAGCTTAATTTCTCCTGAAAAGTGAGGGGAAAAGAGAAGTCACTTTTGCAAAGCAATTCCTACTTTAAATCTTCATTACTGATAAGATCAAAAGCCCCTTATCCTTAAACAGCTCTCATTTTTAAAAATTGGCCTGTCGGGATAGTTTATTCCTATGTTAAACACTCATTTTTCTGTTTAAAGTTGTTAACATTTACTATAATGCATATTTCATACATATGATCTTCAATTACTGGCTGGTGCTTCTTTGGAATATCACTTGGCTCACTTTTTAATTGTGAAAATGCCTTTCCTTATATATGAGCCTTTGTCATTTTGAGAGGGAAGGGGGCTGGATAGGGTGGGTAGAAAACAACAGAAACACTATTTCTTGTTAATCTCCTAGGACTCTTTTCCCAATTTACTATTTCTTAGTCAAAGAATTGCCATGAAAGAGGATGGAAAAATGTTCTTGGCAAGTTCGTCTATAAACTGAGGCTTTTCTTGTTTTTGATACAAGTTCCTGTGACTGATCAACTTTGAAGATGATTATCCAGGCACTCTCCAGATTTTTAAACAAGAACATCCTACTCCAGTTTTTATAGCCTTGTAGGAGAGCATATTTCACCTACCAGTTATTTCCTTTACAAAGCAAGCTTTTCCTACAAATCTTATAAGGCTAATCATAGTTTAGCTGTCCTATAAATGATCTCCTTCTCTGATTTGATGACTTTGCATCTCCATAGAGCTGGCAAAACCAGCTTTCTTGGATTTGTTGCAAAGGATTCCCTGAAAAGGATAAAAGCAGGAGTGAGTGGGTCATTGCAAGAGTGGGTATTAAGCCAGGTCAAGGATAATAGAGCCAGATGTTATTTCTACAGCTTTTGATGTGATCGGAACAAAGTACCCTTACCCAGTGTACACGATGCGAAGGAAGAAGGGAACAAACCTGCCTCAAAATTGTCAGCGTGCAGCCTTGTGCGCTTGCTCGAAGTGCTGTCTGCCAGCGCTTCTCCTGAAATCTGCACCCACTAATTCGAGAATTTGAGGTGGACGTGCTTGCAGCAATGATCACTGCAGTGTCCTAAGGGTGATTTTCTCTCCTTCACTTCTTCTACACTTTATTAATTGGAACTCCTCTGTAAGGAAGACTTGTCTCCTCTTCCTGACTTACTTAGGCGGCTCTTTATTTATATCCATAGGGACTTAAAGATATGACTTTTATTCTGTGGATTCTAATTCAATAGAATCATGATTTTGTTGCTTGAATTGTTCCAGCTTTGGCCTTTGGGAGCTCTTTCAAGTTGGCTCCTGTGCCCTTTTCACTTGACTCGTCATTTTTAGTGAGTGCATCCTTACTTTGTGTGGCACAGAAGGTTTTTTTTTTTTACATTTCTCCATAATGCTCCTGAGAAGCACCAGATAATGACTGTCTTTTTTGTAAAGCACTCGGCATATAATTTATATTAATGTAAAATGATATTAAAGGTTATCAAAGCAAAGTATCATTCATTACATGGAAATTACAGATGTCAAGTCCAAGTACTCAGAGAGAGAGCAAGCATGACAGGTTTTAAGTGCTATATAGGCAGAGGCTCAACCGCCTTCTATTTTTATTTAAAATGTTACCACCACCCAGCAACACAGTGGGGCCTTTTAAGTCATGTGATCTCATTTAAAGTGTGATGGTTCAGCTACTTTCCATTCCCAAAATTCTTCTTTTCTGGTAGAAATGGGAGTCCAGTGGGACAAAAATGTGTTATTAAGTACAATGTATTTCTCTAACATTCATGAGATGAATTCACATAATTTGAAATATTGCACTAACTATATTCTGTTTTAAAAATGCTCTTGTAAGAGGGAGGCGGGATGAGGAATCATGTCTATTCTTGTTAGCAGCTGGATTTGAATCTTCACATTAACTTCCCTTGTGCTGCTGGTCAGCAAAAGTTTCCCAAAGGAAATATAAAAGGACAATAGGAACCATTCAGAAGAATGAAACATTAAGGAAGGGGAAAAAAGTCCATTGTTGTAATTTAGAGAAACTTCAAATGAAAAAAGTCTAGTGTTTTGAGTAGAATTGACACACTCAGTTTACTTACGGTATTACAATTAGGGCACAGATCAGAAATTTTAAAAAATGTGATGTCTTGCATCAGTGTGTGTGTGTGAGAGAGAGAGATAAAATGACAGGTTTGTCCATGCAGGAAGTAGGAGTAGGGTCACATCACTCAGGCTCAAGAAGGAAAAGGTACACCTGAAATAGACCAGAGCCAAAATAAGACGCAGAAGTTCAGCTGATCTGTGTTCACGCATGCAAGGCTGGGAAAAAAGTAAACAAGAAGAATGACTTTCTCATGCAGGACAAAGATGAGTAAGATTAAGCAAGACATACAAGCTGCTGATCCTTTTTTCCCTGAGTTCTACAGAGTTCAGCCTCCACTTTGCCGGTGTGGTTGTGGTGGCCTCTGCCATGTCCAGGTAACCCCAGCCATGGTGGGGACCATCAACAATGTTCAAAGACTGCACACCCATTGCTCTGGGACTGCACGGGGCAGCCAGCCCAGAGTCCTCAGCATCGAGATGCTAGTCCACCACAAGTTCAGAGCAGCTGTTTCCATGTTGAAGCAGGCCCAGTCACTTTCAGGGTTCCGAGTCTGTTGGAGAGAGGGATGAAGTGGCCCAGTGACCCAGCCTTAGGAAGGAGACTACCTCTGGAATTGGGCAGACCCCGGATCAGTTCCTCTAGGTGAGGTTCAAGAAAATAAAAAGTCCCAGTAGCAGTGAGAATTAGCCAGGCCCTATGAGTTTTAGGGCTTGTTAACTCACCTGTCATATCACAAGGTCTCATCGCCCTGATATGCCAAAGCATGCAATGAGGGAGGCGCCATGGTACCTGGAGTAGGTATAACTGAGTCTTCACCCAGAGCTTCAACACTTCAGACTCTTAGTTTCCATGTTCCTCGGGATTCTGCCATTGACATCATTACTACCTTCTCCACGGCTGTGTGGATGGGTCTGCTGCCCCTGGATTAGTTCTCTGTTCAGATTGATCTCTGACACACAAGAAAAGTAATTAGAAAGCTGATGCTACTGATCTCTTGTTCATAAGACCCTGATGCTGAGGTTTTTTTTTTTTTTTTCAAAGCACATGAAACAGTTATAAGAACATCTTCCTGCAGAAATCCCAGGATATAACCAATTCACAAGAGTTGCACCACATCATAGGTGAGGTATGAAGACAGCCCTGTATTGGGTAGGGGGTCAGCTTTTATTGGTGACCTGTGGGTCCATGAACCCTCAGCCTCCTCCATTTCTCAGGGGCCAATGATTTAATAGCTTTATTGTATTATTTTCTCTCTTCCTGAATGTCTCCCATCTATTTCATTATATCTTCCTACCACCAGATGGTGGACAGGGAAAAGAAAATAACGGGATGGTAAATCAATGTGGTGGCTGGCAGACTATGGTGAAAGGTGTGGTGGTGAATGGACCCAAAAAGGAGTTCGTGAGTTAGCCAGGAATTCCCATGGGTTCCCTTTTTTTCATTCTAGTGCCCACTCGAGGGTGGGCTGCGAAGGTCTGGGGGGTCAATATGGCACAATGATGCCCGTTGGGGAGGGAGCTAGCCCTTGCCTTAGTGTATTCCTGGGAACATCATCAGAGCCTGGGAACATCGCTGAGCAACGAACCCCACCTGACCCAGGCACGGGCTCAGGGTTACAGCTCTGTGAAAGTGGGAGCCGGGCGACGCGCCCCACCGGCACCGATGTGCCCTTTTCTGTCTTTACGCATCTCCATCCCAACACCTCCTACGTGTAAACTCGCACCAAGCTACACCGAAGGGACGGGGTACATATCTCCTTCTGCAGGGATCCCTTCTCCCTGCTTTCCAACAGCCCCTTCTGTGAAGCCTTATTCTGAGTTGCTTCGATGCCCCCAGGGTCACCAGCCATCACTCTCAGCAGGTGCACGGCCCCTCACCTGTCCACGGTCGGCCCTCCCCCAGCCTGTCCTCCCGCTCTGGTCGCGCCCTGCGGTGGGTTCCTTCCACCTCCTTTCCTACTTACCCCTTCACTCGGACACCCCCTCCCCCACAGACTCCCACCTCCTCGGGTCTCGAGGAGTCTCGCGGCATTTCCCGGGGCGTTAGTCTGCCGCCGCGGGTGGGGGGCGGCTTCGCACAGAGCCGGGTCCCTCCCCAGCGGGCGGTGAGGGGGGCGCCCAAGCACCGCAGCCACAGGAAGGCTCCGCCCACCTGAGGCCCCGCCTTCGGGCCCCGCCCCCCGCCCCGGCAGCCGCGCGTCCCCGGCAGGCGGAGCCGCAGGAGCACCGCGGCGGCTGCGAGGAGGAGGGGAGAGCAGGCGGCGCGGCCGCGGCTGCCGGGCGCTGGGCTGGGCGGCGCTTTTTTTTTCGCAATTTCCACTCGCGGGGAGCAGGAAACCCGGCGCAGCCGGGCGCAGCGGGCCGCGATGCAGCAGCAGCAGCAGGAGTCGCCCCGGGGCAGCAGCGACAGCAGCAGCAGAGGCAGCACCGGGCGGCGCTGAGCCGCCGCGGCCCCCGATACAGAAAAGGAAGCCGGCCCAGCCGCCTCGTCCCGACCCCTGCGCCCCAGTCCCGGCGCAGCACGACTCCAGCGCCCCGACCCCGGCGCCTGTATCCCCGCGCCCGCCTCCGCCAACTTTCACGCTGCCTCGGCGGCCCGGCCCGGCTCAACGCCAATGGGTGAGTGGAGGGCCGCCCGCGCCCAGGCGCCCCAGTGCCTACCTAAGCCTGGGGGCGACGTGCCTGTTTCAGAACCGTGGAGCAGGGCAGGGAGTCCCGGGGGAGGGCCCCTACGGGTGACACCGTGGTGGGCGCCCTGCCTGCCTCGCTCACCCCCATTCACTCCCACTCGCGCCCGTGTCCCTGCCAAGCCCGCGCGGCGCGGACGGGAACCCCGCGGGGGCCTGGGCGGGGGAGCGCGGGGGCCGGCCAGGGACGGCTGGGCTGAGGGATGCAGGGGGTGTGGTTGGTTTTTCGGGTGGGCGGGGAGAGTTTGATTTTGGCCATTTTCTCGACCCAGAGCTCCGTCCCCTGCGCTGAAGACGTGGGTACTGGGAGCTGGTGGGTTCCGGCTCTGTGCAGGGCTCGTGGTACCTGCCTTGACCGCTGCGGGGGAAGCCGGATTCTCGTGGTCTCGGGGCGGCCGGGGACTGGGTTGCCTTTGCTGGGGGCTGGCGTTGTGGGGCGCGGGAAACGCCCCAGTACCCGGTTTGGCGCGCCCCCTTGGGTCCTGGGTGCCCCTCTTCCTGCCGGTCCTGACCCCCTCTCTGCCTGCCTTCTTCCAGCCCAGGGAGCTATCCGCTCCGTGGTGCTCAAAGGCCACTTCCCACATCCTCTAAGTCTGCAGGCTCTAGGAACTGGAAACGGAGATCTAGTCCTTGATATACCAATCAAACATTAGTTCCAAGTAGGCAACTAACCCAAGCCCCCTTCTGGGTCCCATCTGGTATAGACCCCTGAGCATGGGAGCCACCTTGCTGCCCAGAGGACTTGACACTTGACTGGGCAAAGGACTTGTGACTGCCTTGGCTAGGAAACGTTTGGTCCACTCGGCCAATATTCTGGCTGGTAGCCAGTCTCTCTCTTTCATGCCTCTGGCAGGTTATTTTAGGGTGTTTCTAGGCCAAGCATAGGAAGGCTGTAGATTATAATAAATTATAATGAAGTGAGACCTTTCTGTGTTCAGGTAATAGGATTTGGGTAGGTTAGTCAGAAAGTGATAGGCAAGCTGTCACGGGATGTATATGAAGACAGATGAACTGAAAAGGGAGGTATAGCTCAGTTATTGACAGGCAAAAGTTCAAATCTCATTTGTGGTCATTTGCCAAAATGGTTTTCCTTTTCTAAACTGGTGGTGATCTCATGGCCTCTCAGCTTCAGTGTCACTTTTTTCTCAGTGCCCTTCTCTGATCCCCTCACCACCTCCCTCTAAAGTTGTTTCTCTGCTCCCCTTTCTCCCACAGCACCTTTTCCTTTTTGTATAGCAGTGTTACATACTTATTTTTGTTTAGCACTTATCTCTCCTAATGTAAGCTCCATGACCATAGGGACAGTGCTGTGTCCCCCCGTTTTTCACTTAGTGCTGTTTTCTGTGGTGCCTGCCACAGAGCAGGCCCTAACTAAATATTGAATGAATGAATGGATGGATGAGTATGAAACCCTCCTGCTCTGGAAGACAAAACACAGCTCCACACTCTCGTTGTGCTTCGGCACCTAATAAGATGATTTAGTTCATTAACGAAAGTATATACTTTAGAATCACCTATCACTTTAGTAGCAGATTGGTTTCTCCATCGGTAACCAAAAATGTTGGTTTGATAGCCTTTCATTTTGGGTGGGTTGCGGAGAGGGTTGCATACACACACAAGTCTTCTGGTGCTTTCTCTATCTCAGTAGGAAGAGGACTGAGTCCTATGTAAGAAGAAACAAAGCTGTTTATCATTCAAGTCTGAACTGTTTTCATTATCCAGACCTTTCTAAGAAAATTAGACTATTTCTGCAGTTTATAGTCCTTACAAGTTTAATCTTTTTTTTCACTCTATTTCAAAAGGAGGGGGGTTCAGAAAGTGATCTTTATTTCTATCAGATGTTAATAGTTAGAAGCAATAAGAGTAAATACTGTCATTTAACTCATTAAAACGCTTATAGTGGGATTTGGGATGTTTGTAGTAGTTTGTGGCTGAAGATCACCTGCTCTTTTCTAAAGCATCTTCAGTGACATATTCATAGTTGTGATTTTGTACAGGTATTTAACAGTTGATTCTGTATATCTTCTGATGGAGCCACCTAACGGTGTAGTTTCTCAAGCAGGTGTGTGTGTGTGCACATGCAGGTCCTCCCCCCACCCCCCGTCCTCCAAGTTTTTGGTTTTCAGATTTGTTCAGTTTATCAGTTTGAGACACTTGTATTGTTACCTGGCCTGATGATGATTTTTCTGTTGATGGATAACACAGTAAAACTGTATCATATGGTCTTTGATCTGAAAAATATCAAATCCCGAGCCCTGAAATGAGGCTGGTTAGTTGTGAAATGGCCTCTTACAAAAGCGTGTTCAGAATATGCCCTCTGAGCTTGTGGGGAGATGCCTATGGTGCCCGATACAGGGTAAGCCTCTTGTAATTACAATTGCACACATATTATTACCACCCAAAGCTGTGAGTAGTGAAGAATTTGCAAGCCCAGCAAATGATTGCCATTTAAAGAATTCCAGAGTAACAACAAAGTTTGGACTGTTTTTAGCAATGTATTGTTTTGGTGGTAGACTGCTTTATGCTAAACTAAAGCTAAAATGAATATCACGTGTTGGCCTCCACAGCCTCGAGTTAGAAATGGAAGAAGAGGCCCCACGTTTATCGCTCATGACTGCAGGTCCATCATGGCACAGGCAAACGCTTGCTACCGCCCTGCTTGCCCAGACCTCAGTTGTTTCTTCTCTGACCATGTCAGTTCTTTCTGTACTGCTGACATTCTCTCATCAACTCTTGTTTTTGTAATTGTTTTAAAGTAGGTTGTGTACAGTAGTCAATATTCATCCATCCATCTATCCATCCAACATTTATTGACCTCTGCTTTGTGCAAGGCATTGTGGGAGGAACAGGTACACAACACATGCAGACCTGGCGGCTTGCGCTTCTCAGTCTAGTGGAAAAGGTAGACTTGAGTGCAGTGCTCACAACGGTACGTAATGATAAGCCATGGCAGGTCTCATGAAAGGAGATTAGAGAGGGGGGATCTGATTTAGGCTGCCAAGGGGTAAGGACAGTGGCATCGAGGTGGTGTTTGAGGTGAAATCTGAAAGTTGAGTAGGAGTTGCCACTGCCCTCCAGCCACACCCCCCAGGAACACACCTGGAATGGAACAAGCAGGTTTTCTTCTCCTTGCAGTGAGGGAGATCACACACCGTGGGGCATCGCAGCAGGAGGGTGTCAGGAAGGACCACGTATAGGGCTGGGCCCGTATCAGGTGCTTATGGGGAGCCTTTAAGGAAGGCGGGTGTTGTCTGGACTGGGGGCAGGGCAGTCCCAGGACTGGGTGTCTTTAAATGTCTTCTGGAAGCAGGGAAGACTAGACAGAGGCTGTGATGGGTAAAGAAGCAGCAGTCCCTCATTAGCTGGGATTGGGGGATATTTGGTGACGTTTGTGGTTTGGACCATGCCCATGCTTTGTCTGTGTTCAGACATGATTACTGAGTGGCCTTGTTTTCATCTTGTCCCTTCCCAGTCAGAGTGGCCTTGTCTGTTGCTGGCATTCTGAGTAGTTGTTTATGCTCCACAGGAAAGTGCCCGGCCAGCTTCCGGATGGCAGGGACTGCTTTTCTCTGCCCCTGAGTTAAGTAAGTGATGAGCTGGGGTAGGGAATAGGAGGTGGTAGGGGAGGAAAATGGCTTCCTAGTTATATTCTGTGGGTAATTCCTTGTATCAGCCAACTCTAGACCTGGGACTGTTGTTCAACTGTACACAGAATGAATGGACAGTTGAAATGCTATACCTGGGGAAGAGATCCAGAGTAATGCAGAGCAAGCCGCCGAGAACCCAGAAGTCAGGGCGGCCCTTAGTGGGAAAGATGGAGGACAGGAAGACAGAATCCTTTCACTGTGACAGAAGGAGTGTCTCTGATATGGTGGTTTTCAGAGTGTGATATGATTGGTATGAGAAACCAGCAGCATCAGCCTCCCCTGGGATCCCATTAGAGACACAAATTCTCTGGCCCAACTCTGACCTACTGAATGAGGAACTCTGGGGGTGGAGCACAGCAGCCTGTGTACTAACGAGCGCTCCAGGTGGTCCTGATGCGTGCTCAAGGTCGCGTTGAGAAAGCCGAGGTCCAGAGCGTGGGGGTCACTGAAGAGCACATGAACACCCTGGCCATAAAATAAGATGCCGATGGGACACGTGACCTTAGAGGAGAACAATATGCTCCCGGTTCAGAACAGACCTCTTATGAAGTTACTAGAACAGTGCACTGTTGAGTCTTCTGTGAATCCAGTCCAAGCCAGACCTCCGACGCCTGGGCATCAGTGACACTAGCTGGCCCATCTCATTGTTAGTCACTTGGACTTTGGCCACAGTATCTCATAGGTCTTTCCTATCATCCTTTTTTCCTTCCATCCTCTTTAGAAGGGATAGTAAAAATAGATTGTTTGCATTATTAGGGGTTTCGATATTTGTGATTTTCTGTACCTGGTACCTGTACATTAGTTTCCAATTGCTGCTGTAACAAATTACCACAGATAGTGACACAAATGTATTAGCTTACAGTTCTGGGGGTCAGAGGTCTGAAATGGGTCTTGCTGGGCTAAAATCAAGGTGTCAGCATGGCTGTGTTCCTTCTGCAGGCCCTAGGGGAGACTCCCTTTACTGACTTTTTCCCACTTCCAGAGTCTGCCCACATTCCTGGCCTTGTGGCCCCTTCCATATTCCAAGCCAGCAATGGCCAGTCAGGCCTTTCTGATATCGTATCGTGCTGATACTGACTCTTCTGCGTCCCTCTGCCACATTTGAGGGGGGCAGGGACTGCGTCTGTTTGGTCACTGTGTCCCCATGCCTTGGCACGTGGTAAGCCTAAAATGAATACTTTTGCGGTAATTATCATTCCTCACCTTCTAGTTATCTTCACCCAGGTGTGTCTTAGACACCTCAAACAGAGCATATTGTAAAGTGAGCTCAGCATTTTTCTCCCAT